TCAGCACCTTTCCCACCCGAGCTGGGAAATAGAATTGTACCTGCCTTAACCTGGGCCTCAAGTCTTAATATTCTGTTTTCCTCTGTGAGCTGCTGCTGCACATGGAGCCATGAGAAACCTGCACTTTTGCACTAAAACCCAAACAACACTTTGCTCTTTCTTTTCCGCATGTGTCAGGGCACGCACAACTTTGGTGGGATCCGGGTGGGCAATGGCCCAACGGAGGAGGATGCTGAGATCATTCAACATGACCAGTTATCTACCCATTCTGAGGAGGGGGAAGAGGTAAGCACCTGAGCATCCTCGCTCTCAGGGCACTGCACTCAGCAGCAGGATGAGCTCACTGGGACTGTGGTTACTCATTTCCAGGCTGTTTAAACATTCCCAGTGAAGTGTTTTCATAGCAATTTTCTTACTGACTGTCTCTTGGTCACTCCTGGGACTCCAGAAAAAGCAGCATAATTTGCATCTCGTGAGAGATGTGGCTCTGTTTGTCCCCATGGCAAAGAACCACCACCTCGGGGGTGCACAGCACTCCCAGGTGCCGCACGCAGCTCACCTGGCTGCAGCGTGAGGCAGTCGTTACCTGCTTCTCCCGTGCCAGTGCAAATCCAGGGGCTGTGTTTCTGCAGCCCTGAAATCTTGTTTATGTATTCATTTGGACTGCTGGGGGTAATATTGATTACTTCCCTTTCCTCTGGGAGAGGAGAAAAGCAGTCAGTTTGTGTAGTTTGGGAGTTCTCTGATGCCTCTGAACAACTCTGCAGCAGATCCTGCCTCTGTAGTGCATGGGATGTGTCACTGCTTTTGTGGCCTGTGTAGGAGGGAATTGCTGAATGTGTTCATGATGGATGTGATGGAGACACTGCACTAAATGTAAATTTATGTTTTCAAGCCTACAGAGGACGAGGTGGTAAGAGCACAGCAGCTTTGCCTTCATGTGTACCTGGGCCATTTCCCATTGGTGTAAAATGTGCTGAACTGAACATGTTATGTCGCAGCATCTTGTTCTCCAAAAGATCTTGCTGTTCACATGTCACAGACTGTTTTTAATTCATACATGCATACATTAACAGGCCTTTAATTTCTTCATCTATGCAGCTTGTCTGTCTGATCCCCTGACCATTCCCAGTTACTGGGAAGCTGTTCAGCTGGAGCTCTGAAACTGAAAAGTTTTTACTTTTGAGCCTCTGGAGAAGTCTCATTTGCCTTAGGTTGTGTCTTTGGTAATTGGTGCTGCAGCAAACTATTTAAAGACATTTTTTCTCCCCAAACTGTCTGCCATGTTAAGGATGATCCTGGTTGACTCAGTGAGCAAATGCAGCACAACCAGTCCTGTTTCGTGCAGTTCCATAACTGAACTGCCCAGAGGCTGTGGAAAAGAGAAGCTCTGTTCTGAGAAACTGCTCATCCCTAAGCACTTGTAACAAGCACTAAAGAAATGGGGTTTAGGAATACTCACGAAGGATTGAGTGTAGGTTTCAGCACTACCAGGTGACCAGTTTTATTGCAAAAAATACAAATGCCGTGAAATCAGAGCAGCTTGGCCAGGGCAGTGCTGGAAATTGTGCTGACAGTGGTTTGCTCAGAGCTCTGCTGTGCACAGACCCATGTGGAATTGGGGGGCACAGTGTGCTGGTGTACCTGACATCCCACTGAACCTGGGGGAAATGTGTAAACCCACAGGTACTGTGCCACAGCTATCCCAGTGCTCCCACTCCCTGGCACAGTGGTCGCACTCTCGGCTGTGAAGTGTCAAACACTTCCCACGTTCCCGGTGCTGCCGGCCGGATTGTGTGTGCAGCTCTTGGCTGGGGCAGCCTTTAGTGAAGAACTTCACAGCTCATATTCTGTGGAGAAAGAATTGGCCTTTTGACAGCCAATTTAACAGAGTTGTTTGAAATATTTATTGCCTTGGATATACTAGGGGAGAAATGACAATATAAATAGCTGTGAGTGCATGCCTAGAGCATGAGTCACTGGATGTGTTTAAAACATCATGTTTGCATAAATCTGAGAAGTTTCTGAAGCATGGATTAAATCCAAAATGCAGGGAATGCTTTCCCAAGCTGCAGAATAAGAAACTGCCCTATATGGCAGACTTCCTTGGAAGTGCTTCTATTACTGCAGAAAATTACCAAGACACAGAGACTTTGCTAGTGAACGGTGCACAGATGTGACTTTTTCAGGATAGCTTAATGCATTATTTTTGCTTTAAAAAGGAGCAGATCCATGTCTTGCAAACGGCTCCTGTTGCTCCTGTAGCAGAGGCACACACAGTACGGCTTGGAGCACTGCCTCCTCCTAGCAGCACCTCTGAGTGGCCGGGGGGAGTGCACACGAACACCATCTTCTGCTGAACTGTCTTTTCCTGGCACAGCCCTGGATGAATCTGGAATATCTGACTGTCACTTACGAGAACGTGAAAACAATATTCAAGTTGCAGCATTTGTCATTCTGCAAAACCTGGTGAGACAGGATTCGTTTTTCACTGATAAAACTGTTGTGCCAGGCCAGGAGAAGACGGTATCAGTGTCACACACAGTGTCCTTGGTGATAGCAGCAGGTGTCCTGCCTGTGTCCCACACACCCCCCAGGCTCCCAGCCCCCCTCATCTGTGTTCCCTTTGCAGTTTGACTTCGGGGACACCGTGGTGTACCAGGCCATCCACACCATCGAGTACTGCCTGGGCTGCATCTCCAACACTGCGTCCTACCTGCGGCTCTGGGCCCTCAGCCTGGCCCACGCACGTGAGTGTTCCCTGTGGAGCTGAGGTGTGGATCCTGCCCACCCCGGGCAGGAACATCAGTGACCTCTCAATGCACAGCTGGCACAGGACAGTGCTTTGTGTGTGTTGGCTGGGAGCCGTGAGCTCCATGCACCAGGGTCTGCTCCCACAGCTCTGCTGCACAGCAGGGAGGGGGTTAACAGCACGCTGAGCGAGGACTCTGCCCTGCCCTGTGTGACAGCTGGAGGCAATGTCCTGACACACTTGGCTACAAAAGCTCTTGTCCCTCTTCAGTTTCCACCTCACTGTAGTTGGTGTTTGCTTGACTTAGTTTTTGGTTTATGAGTGAACTGTAACCCTCCTATTCCCACTGACATGAGCTCTCTCCTCCCCTTTCTCCTGGCAGAGCTCTCGGAGGTGCTCTGGACCATGGTGATCCACATTGGCCTCAGTGTGAGGAGCCTGGGGGGAGGCCTCGGCCTCTTCTTCGTCTTTGCTGCTTTTGCCACCCTGACAGTGGCCATTCTGCTGGTCATGGAGGGGCTCTCAGCCTTCCTCCATGCTCTGCGCTTGCACTGGTGAGTCACGGAGAGCTCCTCACAGCGAGGGAATTGGTGTGGGCCGTGCAGAAATGCCATCTTCTAGAAAGCAGAAAGTCTTTAAAAGGGTCAGAGATTTCAAGCCTGAGTCATACACCTCTCCTGATTGATGCCTAGAAGTTGTGGAGGGTAACTGAGCTCTGCTTAGAAATAAGCACTAAAAGACTATAAGACCAAAGCTTTGGGGACGGGGTGGGGAGGCTGTGCTGGACAGATGAGTGTGCTGTTGACTTTCAGCAAGAATTTCTCATTCCACCTTTTGGTCTTTTCCCTGGTTCCTGTGTTTGTTGTCTCTCGTGCAGTAGCCACTGACTGCAGTTTCCTTCTCATGCTCTTGCTTGTTCTCTTAAGACCTCGCCTTGGACAAGGGCAGCTGTGCCCTCTGGTCTCAGGGTGCTGTGAGATGGCTCCAACTTCTTGCTGATCTTGCTTTTGGCAGATGCTTTTGCAGCCCCTTGCCTGTGATCATTAAGCTCCTGTGTATGCAGCCAGCAAAGCAGAAGGAATTAACTCTGCTCCCAAGTATGGAAAGTGTTTGAGAGCTTTCTCTAATCCATGTTTAAGAGTACTCATTGTTCCACCCCAGATTTCCTGGTTAGTGCAATGATGGGATCAAAGGAACAACTGGGAGTGGGGGTTGCTCAGCCTGAAGTGCAGAACCCTCTGTGGGATTCAGGCACTACACCCTCCTCAGGCAGCTGATTTCCTGAGGGTCAGGAGAGCAAAGGGAAGTCCCATGAAGATCACAAGGAATATTCTGTCTTGCTTAAATGGCTTAGGGGCACTCTCTGAAAGTACTTCTATAAGGGCAAGAGGAAGCCTGTGCCTTTAAAAAGGGAAAGAAAAACAGCCTTTTTGCACTCCTCCCCTGCTTGTGGGGAAGGAAAACTTTGGCTTTTTGCCCTCCCCATTGGCAGCCAGTGGGGCACAGGCTGGGGTGTCCTGGCAGCCTGGGGATGCAGGCTGGAGGTCCTGGCCCACCTGAGTCTCTGTAGCTGAGTGAGCCAAGCTCATCCCAGGGCGAAGCCATCTTGTGCTGAGGGAGCTGGGGGAGCACTGCTGGAAATGGCTGCTGGATGGTGCTCCTGTTTTTCCTGGCATCCAGCCTAGAACCCTCCATTGAGGGCTCCTTGCTGGCTGGCCAGAGGTCCCTCACCCTGCTGTCACCGTGCTGGGCCGTGGCAGCAGTGACAGCAGGAGCCCCACAGACCCTGCTGGGCACTTAGAGCACTCCAAGGAGAGCAGAGAGCAGCAGTGCTGTAACTCCAGATGTGGTGGGTTTGCTCTGCAATTCCTTGTGGATTAGAGGGTTCCCAGGGCCTCTCCGGGCTGTGGATCCGCGCGGCTGTTTCTGAGCAACAGCAAGGGAACAGCTCTGAGCAGCTGCTCTGGGCAGGCTCTGTGGTTCATTTTGCACCCACAGGACTGGGCTCAGAGCAGAAAGCACTGAGGTACGTGTTTTCAGGGAGGTACCTGTCTTGGGTTAATAACCACAGGTCACACCTACGGACATAGCTCACAGACACCTGGAGCAGGTGTGAGCTGGAGGTCGCGGAGCTGCCAAGAGGTGGCTGTTCCCATTGCCAGGCTGTGCCTAAAGGGCCGTTAAAAATTAGTCTGTACATGTGTCAGGGGAAGACACAGGTCAGTGAAATGGCAAACAGGGAAACCCAGGGGCAGCAGCAGTGAGTGCCCAGGTTGCTCCAGCTGTGCAGACCAGTGCAGGTCACAGTCTGGCAGCTGCAGAACTGGAGAGCTTAACCAAATCCTGTCTTCCCTGAATGCGTGTTTCGGACCTGCAAACCTTTCAGGTACAAGCTCTGAGAGAAAATCTGTTGAGGCTCAGAGCCCCAAAAGCAAGTTTAAGGCTCTCTTTCTGACTGCAAGTGATCTGCTGGAATGATTTTGGGTTTGCTTTGTGTTGGTTATCACAGGGAGGCACCTGCAGTGCTTCCAAAGAACACACTGTTCACATTCCTTTTTGCTCCTGGACCAAAAACAGGGCATTCCAATGGCAGGTGTTCCCTTTTGAGGAGGAGGAAAGGGGAGTGGGGGTCAAATACAGCTGTCCTGGGAGGAGCAGATGGGATTTTCTGGTGGTGGGAGAACAGTCACCTATCACGAATTCCAAGGTGTGGGTGGTTCAGCCTTCCTGGAAAGGAGGAGGAATTGAGTATGTGTTTTACTGGTGGAGGAGTGCACAGGTTGTTCCATGTGCTGTGCCTGGGAGGCCCAAATGAGGGAGATTTATTTTGTGCTTTTCCAGTAGCAGGCTGAGCTTTTCGGGGCGTTCTGGGGTGGGTTGTGCTTTTTAAGGTGTGCTGGGGTGGAGGCATCAGGCCTCCAGCTGTGGCCAGTTGTACTGGAGTGTCCAAAGGAAGCATTTGGATTTGGGACCAGCTGGAACTGTGAATCATCAGGGTTAAAATTTCAGTTACAGTGGGTTTGGGTGACTCAGATACCCAACCCTCTGCCTCTCATTTCCCTTTGCTTACAGAACAGTTACTTAGTCACAGGATACTTACAGAGATTATCAGGGTTCCTGAAAAACTGGAGCATGCTGGCGAGGAGCCCTTCCTCCCACATGGAAAATCCTGCTCATCCTGGGGATCCCTTGGCCTGTGAGGCAGCAGGAGACACAAGCTCAAGCTGGTTTTTCTGTGCATTTCCCCCCTGGGCTCTCTTGGGAAATCACTTTTTGCCAGCTGAATCCAGCAGCTCTGGAGTTTGCTGTGATTCCCCATTTGGGGAAAAGTTAGTCCATTTTGTCTTTTTGTGCTTCCTAAAAATGCTTCTCCTGAACTGTGTTAAGCTCTCCCCAGTTTGCTGCCACTTGATGCCTACAGAGATTTTGTTTTCTAGGACATCATGCAATGGAAAGTGTCTCTGAAGCCTGGGCTTGCTTTTGCTGGGAATCAGGGGATTAGTTTTTCTGCCCCTATTTGGCTGTCACTGACCATTGGGCAGTTCTCTGGAATGATCCTTTTTTCACCGAGGTCATTAGGGGCAGCAGCAAAGGGGCTGAGCCAACCTTGGCCGGAGCCACTGGGCACAGCCCAACACGGCACAAGTGCTGTGGGAGGAAGAACCAAATGTGCCACAGGGAACAAACAGAAGTGGCTGCTGGGGGAGTCTGAGCTCAATGTCACGAGGCCAAGGCTTGTGCTAACAGAAATGGGAACTTCAGAACGAGCTGGTGCAGAAAATGCTCTGTGCTCCCTGTGATTCCCAGACACTGCAGTCAGGGCAGGTGTCACAGCTCTGTGGCCCTTCTGCTGCCCCTGGGGGTGGGATCAGAGTCCCTGGGCAGCTCTCTGCTCCACACAGGTACATCACACACAGGTGTGGGGTTTGTGCCAAGAGTTATGTCATGTTGTAATGCCTCTTTTTATCCTTGAAGCTTTATTTGTTACAGTCAATAATCAGACTTTTAACAGAGTTCTTGCTAATTGCTACCTCACATTGAGAACTGCCTTTCTAATGAGCAATTGCCCTTCCTTTTCTTGCAGGATTGAATTCCAGAACAAGTTCTACACTGGCACTGGGTTCAAGTTTCTCCCTTTCTCCTTTGACACCATCCGTGAGGGGAGGTTTGACGACTGAAGCCTCCACACTCCAGCAGTGTTAAACGTTGTGTGTGTGTGTTGTGTGTGTGTGTGTGTGTGTATGAGAGAGAGACTGACCCTCCAACACCATGTGTGTGACTGACCCTCCCCTCCCCATGTGTCTGAGTCGTGTGTATTCCCCCATAGTGACAATAACTTATTGCAACACCCTTGAACATTACTGTGGCATCCCAAAGCCAAGAGCTGTGACGTTCTGAGGTGACGAGTGACACTGGATCACAGAAACTTTTCGTTCCTTAAGTTTACTCCTGAAGATACCATGTGCATGAGGTGTCTGTTTGGTGTGCAGTCATGTGCTCCTGGTGTTGTGCATTCCCTGGCGACTGACTGGGACAGGAGAGAAATGCAGCTTTGCTGAGGGGGCAGACCAGCACACAGAGTGGCATGGGCTGTCCCTGCAGGAGCTGTTGCTTTCTCGCCTGTCTGAGCTGTCAGTAATTCCTTGCTCTTCTCATCTCGATGTAGCTGTAGCAGCAATGGAGTGTGTGTTAGTGCTGTGTGTAACTGTTGTGTGTAATTCTCACAATGGAGCTGAGTATTTGTGTATGAACAGATTAGAACAATAATGAAAATCATTAACCTGGAAGCAAAGAGGAAATGCCTAAAGTTAGGTGAGAAAGGTACATGTGCACTGTATGCTGCAAGGGCACAGGGCACGGGGACCCTCGTGCTGCACCTGGGCAGCCCCTGGGCACTCACTGTGTTAGGTGAGCGTGGGGGTATCCACAGAGGTGAAATCAAAGCGTGGCTGCAGGAGGAGCAGGGCAGGAGTCCTGCTGTGCCCTGCTGCCTGGGTGAAACACGTTGCTGACAGTCACTGTATAAATTAAATGAACTGCACAACAAGCACTGTGGCCTGTTTTCTGTCTCCCCTGTGCTCTCTAAGGGGGTCCTGGACAGCCCCTCGTCCCTGACACTGGGCAGAGCCCCAAAAGCTGCTGGGGACACCTGAGACCTTCGTTGTTCTGCTCAGGATCCTGTCACCTCCCTGGCCGGGAACAGGGGGTGGGCAGAGCTGGTTTGTGCAGTGAGACTAGCGTGACCCTGCCTGGGCTGCAGTGTCATAGAATCATACAATCAACCAGGTTGGAAGAGACCTCAAAGATCATCAAGTCCAGCCCTACCGTCATTACTAGACTAAGTGCCACATCTAGTCTCATCGTGAAAACCTCCAGGGATGAATCCACCACCTCCCGGGCAGCACATTCCAATGCCTGACTGCTTATCGAGCCCCAGTGCCATCCTGAGTACAGGCTGGGCCTAGCGGGGGCTGTTTGTGCTGGGGTCTCCTGCCTGCCTGATAAACCTCTTAACCGCGTGTAACAAGGGTTTATGCAGGATGAAAAGCTCCAACTTGGTTAACCCGGGTGCTGTGGGTGCCCTCCGACAGGGAGTGGGGCAGCACACTGTGCCCACGCGGGGCCGTGCCCGCGCCGTGCCCTGCTCCC